AACTTCAATGAATTTCGAAATTTTGATCGACAGCAGCGAAACACTAAATAATACCCTGCGAACAGAGTGTTATTTACCTTACCTCAGTAAAAAAATCGCGAAGGAAATAGATTTTATTGAGGTAAGGTAAATAACACTCTGTTCGTAGGGTAACTAAATAATGGCGTTTACGTTTATATTCATTTATATTTATATTCATTTATCTTTTGTATTATGTTTTAAATTTGATATGGCAAGACATTGGGATTYCGTCTTATAGAACATTACTAAGATMACCTTTTTCAGGTTTTGCAAGAGAAATCCCAGGCACCTCAACTTGGACGAATCACAATCCCAGTGACAGGTCACGCGAAACCTGACCAGTTCTCGGTCACTCTGAAACCAACAGAATTCCAAAGTTTACACACTGTATTTATTAGGTAGATATGAATAGGAGATGACATTACCATCGGGCATTGCAGGGATTCACACGAAGCGTTCGCTGTTACTCTAGAGCTTATAGCGGTCTTGAGGAAAGTTGTTGAGTAGCTTAGTAAATTATATTTATGTGAAAGTTTGAGACAACGCAAATCTGATTTAACCCTTTCCCTACGGCCATCGGTATTATCAGTACTACAGAGCTGATATCTTCAAAAATTATAATTTCCTCAAATCGTTAGATGCGGCTAAAATATTAGCTCTGMCAAGTCAACTAGACAACAAATTCAATATTCCAATTCAAAGCATGTCCAGGGAATCAAGTTCGTTGGCTGAATAAGACTTCTGTTTTGGCGTGGACGCTCAGTTCTAGATTTTGCACTTCCTGGGCCAACAGCGAAAAGTACCTTATTTGGAAGTTAAACAATTTATGGAATTAATACACAGAAAAATACTTCAAAATCGACAAGTTTTTTGTCGTAGGGAATGAGTTAAAGATGTTTTACTGAAGGTTTCGTCGGTCACCGACGGGAGCAACAGCAAATGACCGTTATCGTTTCGCAGTGCTAGAGTTCGCAGAAAACGGAAAATCGCAGTAGGTGGGCAGTCTTGCGTGATTCTTCTGTGCATTAGGGTCCAGCTTCACTACAAGCAAATTTGACCTCGTGAACCGAAATAATTTTTTTGTACCCAATCTGGACCACAATGCAATGCGCAATTCAATTTCAAAGTCATTCGAGCTGTAGTCTTCAAAACTCGATTAGCTTCAAGGCTAACTAAATAAGTTAATCTAGGTTGAAGGTTGAGTTAATTAAGGTGAATGTCTATCATGACAGACTTGAAAACCTAATGATGGCAAGTTGTCTACAGGGTCGTGTTCAATMACAACCGTGACTATGGTTTCTCATTACCCTGGTCCAAGGGTTTCGAACTTTCTTTCTTGTTTGGTGAAGCCTTGCTGTAAAAGCCCACTTTCAATATCTTCGTTGACTGACCAAGACCAAGAGAATTTAAGACGAATAAACGACTGTYCACCAGTGAGCAACCAGAATATGGAAGGTGGGCTATAAGGAAATAATAAAATTAACTTGTGRTGAACGGGTTAAAATAATAAACACTATTGAAATATCAATTGGTAGTCTTTGATTATAGAATGGGTCCATACACAATTGATTAGACAATATGCAGCCTTA